CCAGCCCTCCACTGCTCCCCAGGAGCAGTCTGCCAGCTCCCAGGAGCCTGCCTGATAGGAGCTGGAGAAGGCTGGTGCCTTCCTGGTCCAGGGTGGAGATCATGGACCTTATTCAGGCTTGGGGGGGATGCCCCCAACATCCATGATCTCCGCACTAGATGGAGGAATGCGGCCCTGTATGGCAGGATAGCTGCCAGCCTGGCCACCAAAGGCCACATGCAAACCCAGGAGCAGGTTAGCATGAAAGTCAAGTTGGTCTGACGAGACGCCCAACCCTGAGCCCTGAGCTGCCCCTCCCCCTTCTTCCCCTTGCTTTTCCCTTCCAGCTCCCTCCTCCCAGGTTTCCCCCTCCCTCTTCCACCCTCTCTCTCCCCTCTCCCACCTCCTTTTCCCAGTCTCCCCAGAGGTTCATCCCCCCCAGTTTTGTTCAATAAACCCAGTTTCTATTTTTGAACATATGTATATTTTATTTGACATCAGGAAGGGGGGCTAGGGAGAGGTAAGTGGAAGGACGTGAGGGAGGAATGGGGCATGAGCCCCCGGTGGGGAGAACCGGGGAGGCTCTGAGGGCTCCTTGGGGTGGACGCTCTCCCTCAGGGCCTTCTGGATCCTAACAGCCCCCCCGATGGACTCCCCAGATAGCAGCCTGCAGCAAATGCAGCTGGGCTGATGGCAACGACCCCACAAGATGCACCGGAGTGCCCAGGGGCAGCTCTGGCTCCATGTGGATAAGCGCCGTGGTGTCCTGAGTGCGGGCACTCAGGGCACTCCAAGACAGGACTGCTTTGCTGTCCCTCATCGAGGTAGACAAGCAAGCGGGGAACCCTGAGAACCATCTGTACGGGGTGGGGGTAGGTTCCCTTTAAGCACGGAGCTCAGTTAGCCTCAGGCAGCAGCCCCACACACTAAGTCCTAACCTGATGCCCTTCCAGCACTGGTTCTGGCCAGCCTTAACTTCGGTTCAGGGTCCACTCAGTGTGGACGTGCTATTTCGAAATAGCAAAATACTATTTTGAAATAGTTTTTGTGTATAGATGCTTTCTTTTGAATTAGCTTAATTCAAATTAACTATTTTGAATTAAGTTAATTCGAAATAGCACTGTAGTGTAGACATACCCTCAGTGATCCATCTGGTTCTCAAAGGAGGTAGCATGGTACTTGCCACAGACGAGAAGAGTCCCTCATCAGACTCTCCTCGACATCAGTGGTTAGAGCACTCAACTTTCTCCTCAGGCAGAAGAGGGTGTTGAACCCTTCCACATCCTAGGTGAGTGCTAACTCCTGGGCTACAGGTTATGAAATGAGCACTGACACCTACTTCCCTGGCTGGCAGAATTTGACTGGGATCTGACCTGGCAGGCAGCCTCTGAGCATGCCTAATGTATCAGGTCCCGCACATGACAGAGGCCAACAGAGTTAAGTCTACGCTACAGAATTAGGCTGATATAAGGCAGTTCATGCCTCCCCAACTCTTTAGGCATCTACATTCAAATGTTGCTCCCACCAGTGTAACTCACCCACTAAACCGACTTAATAACTCCACCCGCATGGGAGGCATAGCACTTAGGGTGAGAGAGTTAGTTTGACACCACATCGGTGCAGACACCGCATTGCCTACATTGATTGTTGCTGCCTTTCAGAAGCCATCCCACAGTGCCCCACCCTGACTGTTAAATGGGTGCAAGTGCTCCCGATGAGGACGTGCACTGCCAACCAAGGAGCATAGAGCGGACATACAAAATCGATTGAATTATTGTGGTGGCTGTATGTTGACATAACTGGTTGACTAAATTGTGTAGGGTAGACTTACCTTTAGGAAGATGAATGCCCATCTTCCCTTGGTTTGTAAATTGCTCTGGGGTTCAAGTGGGAGAGAGGCACCAATGCGCATGTCCAAAGACAGATCCTTACACATTGACAGAGTTTAGGCACCCACAGAGTTTGGGGAAAATTCTGTGGATTGCAGTGGAGCCAAAGCTGGGACATAGGTGCTTAAATCACAGACTCAGATATCCGAGTACCTTTGTGGATGTATGTTTTGGGTTTTTTTTTTACTGTCATTGCTAGAGAGAAGAGGGAGTTAAATCAGTGAGGCAATACATTATTTACATATTTTGGTTAAGATCAAGTGTATTAACTGTGGATATGTTGCAGACTTTGGGGTAGAATCTGCAAAGTTCAGTTCTTGAGAGCGGTATTTTAGAGAGAACTGTTGGAAAATCCCTGGACAAAGCCTGGACAACTACTGGGTTCAGGGTAACTCTGATGATGTTTGCTGAATTTGGGTAAGAGGCATTGAACAGAGTTAGAGTTCAAGAGGAAAGTGATTGAATGTCCCTGGTTTCTTGCTGTAATATCTTTCTGGATGACAGGAGGCTGGCAGCTTTTTATAAAACTGATCACCTTGCACCTAAAAAAACTGGTGAGCTGAAAACTATTTGCCTTTTTTAAACAGAGATCAGTAGGGATCCAGTCATCTGATTAGTGGCAAGTAGATGAGAAGGCTTCAACGGGAGAGCAGCAGATTGAGAGTTGTTGTATGGACTATGCTCAGCACAGGAGTTTGAACATCAGTGTACACCGGTGTCATGGGTGTGGGGAGTCACCGGACTCTGCACTAGCGATGTTAAATTGCGGTTATCTGACTAATTGCATAGTCGATGAGGACCGCTCTGCAGAGCCGCAGCGGGGGTAGCTCCAGGAGCCAGCTTAAGCCAGGACTACTAAGTTTGGCTCAAGCTGGCTCTTGGAGCCAGCTTCACTGTGGTTCTGCAGTTTAAATGTAGTAAGAGGTGTCAGGCTCGCAGTCCCAGCTTGCGCTAAGTCCCGCAGGCCCTACCCACAGCCAGCCCTGTCCACCGCAATCAGAAGCTGCTCCGATAGCAGCCCCTGTTCATGGCAACCTGGGGAGTAGCCTCTGTGCATGGCCAGCCCAGGGCACTGAGAACAGGAGCCTTGGCCCGCCGTGGGCAGATGCTGCTTTGCAGCAGCCTCCCTTAGCCTCTTTTTGCTGCCACTGCTAGAGGGGTGGGGGAGGCGGCACCACAGAGCCAGTGCTGCAGGGAGCCAGCTTTAAGCTGTCTCCTCCCAGCACTGGCTCCTGTTCCCTCTCCCCCCTTACTGCCTCTCGTAGTCAATACTCTAGTCGACTACTCGCTGCCCGCCGTGGGCAGATGCTGCTTTGCAGCAGCCTCCCTTAGCCTCTTTTTGCTGCCACTGCTAGAGGGGTGGGGGAGGCGGCACCACAGAGCCAGTGCTGCAGGGAGCCAGCTTTAAGCTGTCTCCTCCCAGCACTGGCTCCTGTTCCCTCTCCCCCCTTACTGCCTCTCGTAGTCAATACTCTAGTCGACTACTCGCTAACATACCCATCCTGCACCCCCATTCTCAGCCAGATGTGACTCTCAGACAGCAGAGAGAACAGAAGCTTTTTTAGTTCACAGGGATACAGCATAGAACAGACTTTTTAACACAGGAACCAGGAGCAGTCAGAGTCCAGAGCCCCCTCCCTGCATACTAAGCCAGCCGAGACTAACTCATACACTCAGCAACCGGTCCAAGCCCTACAGGCAGCCCCTCCTGCTTCCTGGGCAAAAGGTGTCACCTAGTTGCGTCCTCCTCCCAGGCTCATGTTATGGAAAGCTTCGGCCATTGCGTACATGCTGGGAATAGGGAAGCCTCCCTCCCTGAGTGTCACACACAAAATTCCCATCCCCATCTAGGCACCCAGGTCCGTGCCCAGGGAAACTAAGGCACACACACAGAGTTACTACAGGACAGGACAGTAGAAATCACATGCAAGCAAACAGAGCGAATACAATCTCCACTTCGTCACAATTGGCTTAAAGACTCTGGAGAGGTCTTCCTGTCCTAGCTGCTTAAATCATCTGTAAGCAGGGGCTGAACTGCTGCTTGCTGTCAGCCAGTTAAAGGGAGGGGTGGGTGTGCCTGCTACAATTGTTTAGTTCTGCAAGGTAATTAACTGTTAACTGTTGATATGTAAATACTGCTCAGGAGAGAATCCAAGGTGTGGCTATGTAAATCCCATTCAGCCAGGGCTGATGGAGGGTCAGTGTTGGAATGGAATATGGAGAATTGTATATAATTTGGGACTGTTGTGGGGGTCACTAATCATGCTACCCCTAAATGTGGGAACTGTAAAACATGCCACCAGTGCTTGCAGGAGAGACACCACCATCATAGTATGAGGGCTAGGAGGAACAAGCCTCCCCCCCTTCCAGAGTTGAGTGAACTGAGCTGGGGGGAAGGGTTAAAGGGCTTGAGGCAGCCTGCTTCACACCTGCCAGGCATGAGCTGTAAGACTGGCCCAACCTACCCCATTTCCCCTTTGTTTTAAGGCCAGACCTAAAGCAGACTCCAAGAGGAGTCTTTTTCTTTTGATAGTCCAGTGGAAGCTGGATTCCTTTGCCAGTCCAGCTGGTGGCTAAAGAGTTGAAATCACTGAGAGCTGAAATCACTGGTTTGGCTGAGAGCCAGACCCATTGCAGCCAGTGAAGCAGTGATGGCCAGTAGAGTGGCTGGTGGGAATCACTGGCTGGTGGTATAACATGGCCGGTAGGAGCAGCGGCAGGCGAGGAGCGGTGACTGGCGGCGTGGTGTGGAGCAGAGGCTTTTGGGGTGTCAGACTCTTTGGACTTCAGGTGATTCTTGGTGGGGGGAGGGGCTTACCTCATGTTTGGGTTATGAACTCTATGGTGTTTTCCCCACGTTAATGCCGTATGACTTTTCTCTCTGTCTCATTAAATGTTTCTTTCCTACACTCAGATTCAGTGCTTGCGAGTGGGGAAGCATTGCCTCTCAGAGGCATCCAGGGGTGTGTGAATTTCCCAGATTACTGGATGGGGGCTCAAGCCGGTTCTGTGTGAGATGGACCCCAAGATATTGAACCCAGCCCTGGTTACAGCCAGGCCTACCTGGCAGAAGGGTTACACATCCTATTCGGACAGGGGGTAGAGCCCCAAAGTTACCTAAGAAGCAGGGACCCTGATTTTTTTGAGACTCATGGAGCCACAAACTGTGAGTGCGAGTCGGGGAGACAGAAAATCTGCTTTAGTAACTCAGGGTCCAATTGTTCAGGAAAGTGATTCCTGTATCCTGGGTAATAATAATGAATGGAAAATAATGAAACTACCCTACCAAGGTAAGGCAACGAGATACATGTGACTTTACGTGGAGAAAGGGCTGAAGTTTTAGAAATGTTCATATTGCCCGAGGAGGCTTCAGTCCTTTCTCTCGTTCAAGGGACCAAACTTCTTGCAGGCCATCTAGTGTTCTCCTTCAGCAAGGGACATTTCATGATTTGTTTCCAACTTCAGCCATATCCTTTCTTTGATGGAAGCTCCTTGTGATCTCAACCAAGTGTTACAGTTGAGTGTTTGACCCAGTATCCTCCATCATGTTTCATCCCTCAACATGTAAGTGAGTTTGTCTTGTCTACAGAACTAGCTCGTCAATTGGATATACTTTCCCTTTTTCACTCTTCTGACAGCTAAACAATTTTCTCCTTTGAGGCTAGCACTCTCAGGCAAGTTCCCATTGCTTATTCCTCATTCCTGTTTTCAAGATAATGACTCACTTTTCTCTGTTTCATTGCCAGATGATTCTGAAACAAAACACGCTTTTTAGTCTCCCCCAACTCTCCTCTTCAAAGATCTGTGCCTTTCCCTGTTGCTTCCCCTCTTCTCTTTGTCTAGTCAGAGCTTTTTTATTAGAATTAGAAAACTCAAAAAAGGCTGGTTTGCACTTTCACTGGGGATGTCTATGTGTCTATTATACGAAACAGGACTGCAAATACAGCAAGAGGAGTGCACAATTTGGACAAAGCCAATTTGCAGCATCTCTACCATCTCTTACTAAGGAGCTAATTTGTCAGAAGTACTTACATGACCCCTAGTACTAAGGTATTGGGACACCTTACAGTCTTTAATGTATTTATAGTCACAGCACCCTGTGAGATAGGGAAGTGCTGTTTTTCCCATGAAACAGTTAAATCTGTGGGGGAGCAGGAAGTTTTATCCTGGATATTTCAATATCCTCTATATTTCAATTTCCACATTAGTGCTGGCATGCTAACCACTGGACCATGCTTCTTCTAGTCTTTGCTATTGCTCAATTTCCTATTCTCTTGGGCTACGTCTACACTGGCCCCTTTTCCGGAAGGGGCATGTTAATTTCACCTATCGTAGTAGGGAAATCCGCGGGGGATTTAAATATCCCCCACGGCATTTAAATAAAAATGTCCGCCGCTTTTTTCCGGCTTTTAAAAAAGCCGGAAAAGAGCGTCTACACTGGCCCTGATCCTCCGGAAAAAGCACCCTTTTCCGGAGGCTCTTATTCCTACTTCAAAGGAAGGAATAAGTAGGAATAAGAGCAGTGCCCTTTGAAGTAGGAATAAGAGCCTCCGGAAAAGGGCGCTTTTTCCGGAGGATCGGGGCCAGTGTAGACGCTCTTTTCCGGCTTTTTTAAAAGCCGGAAAAAAGCGGCGGACATTTTTATTTAAATGCCGCGGGGGATATTTAAATCCCCCGCGGATTTCCCTACTACGATAGGTGAAATTAACATGCCCCTTCCGGAAAAGGGGCCAGTGTAGACGAGCCCTTGTATTTTAGATCATTTACTTTGTCACCATCTTCTCTAATTAAATAATTCTAGAATAGTAGTGGAGTTTGGTTTGGCGTGTTTCATCCAACAGTCTGTACATGCTGCGAGAATGTTGAGCACTGCATGTCACATCAGTGCCCTGTGAAGCAGGTAAGTATTATTAAATTAATTTTGGAGATGAGTAAATAATGGGATAGGCTGGTTAAATTGATCTTTCAATGTTGCAAAGCAGATCAGTGGCAAAGCTACAAATAGAATCTTCAATGATTTCCA